AACAAAAACTAAACACATAAAAAGGATAACTGTGTTGCGCTCATGAAAGAAGAAGTTGAAGGTGCAGTGATATTCAATATGTAATGATGTAAAAACAGAATTTGCAACATAGCAAAAACAGGGAGAAATTGTTTGAGTTTGTTTGAATGTTTTAGTGGTGCTCTTTCCTGATTATACAGTCATACTTTACTTATTTTGCCTCCGGATTTATGTTTCCTTCTCTAGGTAATTGCTTTCTTTTATTTTTAAAATACCGATCTTGTGTTTTTGCTCACCTGCAGCTTAACAAAGTCATTGGAAGATTTCTCTCTGGACCAGCATAACATCTCGCAAGTGGTTCAGCCAAATGTGGCAGTGCAGTCTCTGAGTGTGACTATGGGCTCCACACAAGGGGTTCAATTTACTGCACTTACAGGTACTGTAAGTGTCACGGTATAGTCACCTCTGACAAGAACCTACATCTCCCTGCTGCACCAAACCTGAAGCTCAGCATTGTAGGCAGAAAATAAATCAGGTCATATTTTTTTAATAGTGAACAGTGTGCTATACAAAACTAGCTGTGTTACCATCTAGTATTCTGATCTTGTCACACCTCAGAAACCAAGCAAGACTGGGCCTGGTCAGTACTGGAATCAGAGATGCTGCACTATAGTACAGTACTGTACTGTAGTATAGTTTATGACATTTTCATATCTTTAATGGCATTCATACAAAAGTAAAGTATGCCTTTTTCAGGGAGCTAGTGGGTATTTCCATTTGTTGTAAAAATGAAGTGAAAACACTCCAGTGCAAGTTTCAGTTCCAGTTGAAGGCGGTGTTAATGTGTCATGGTGATCCTATCAGATTAACTATTGCTTTTTGTCTTGTAGGTGACACAAACAACTTGGTGTCAAACCGCATTGAACTCAAAACAAATGCTACCCAGCTGAGTGTTAACAATAAAACCTCTATAGATGTCCGAATTTTTGTCAATGTTTCTGCAGGTGAGTAAAGAAGAAATGCATACTTGGAAAAAATATATTTTCTCTTCTAGAGTCTACAGATTCTGAAATGATTTGAAGAGTTTTTGCAGTAAAGCCCTATCTTGGCCAACCTGCACAATAAATTAGAAAAGTCAGTTTTATTATGGTTAGGATTATATTACAAAGAGCACCACATAACATCTAAAAATTAACCTATGAAAAGCTTAAGCAGACATACTGTAGAAAGGGTATGTTCACTAATCAAATTGAAACAGGAACTCTATCAGACCACTTTACAGTAATTACTATTAATAAGAATTTCTTGCATTTATAGAATAGTGTATATAGTGTAGCTAAGGGGTCTCCAAATCTGTTCCCGAGAACCTCAAACCAGTTAGTTTTACAGGTCTCTGTTTTTAAAGATTGTGATCACCTGTAAAATATTTATAGATTAAGAAAGTAATTTGTCCAGTTAAGATATCTTTAGTCCTTAAGGGCTGGAGAGTACTTAGATTTCACTCCTAAATAATTGCAAGGCATCTATAATGTACCACCACTACAAAGAAGAACAGGTGGAGAAATAAGAAATTATTTTATCAGTTGAATTAAGGGGGGTTTAGTTCATTCAGACTGTGCAAACTCAGAGTGGATTACCTACTGTAGGACATCAGATTAGCAGCACCTGCTCTTATGAATCGTGCCATTGGATCTTTAATGATAAAGTAGTTAGGACCTCAGTTTAACTGAATATGACAATAAAGGGTGACACCTCTATCAGCAGAATATCCTCTCATGTGAGTTTGAAACTCCAGACTTTGAAGTGCAGAAAGAAGCAAATAAAAAGTCTGGACAATCATGCAGATAAACTGAAGACAACAGTTGATGCAGGTCACTCCAGGCCTTGTTTTGCTTGCAAGATCTGACAAGATCCAGCTAAAAATTAATAATGCTGCTGGCCAGATTTTTTATAACAAATCAGCCACTATGCCTTGATCAGAGAAGATATAGTCTGAGACATTTAGATTGGTGTCACTGAATATACTTCTCTCTTCTCTGTAGAAGCAAAGATGAATGGGCAGATTGGCTTTGTCCTTTATCAAAACGACAAGTTCTTCAGATCCAAGGTTTACAGAAGCACCCTCAATATAAGCAGGAGAGTGATCTCAGGAAGTGTCAAGGGAGGAAAGATTAACCATGTAGATCTTCTCTTCAGCTCACGTGTAAGTTTTCTCTATTTCACTCATTCTGTTCTGGGGAAAAATCATGTTCCTCATTGTTCTTCTTTTCCATTGAAAATTATATAACTGGCATTCAAAATTATAGGTAGTGAACAATCTGAGGTGGTCATCCCTCAAGACACTGTCAAAAATGGAACACAGCTGCTTCTGAGGAACTGTCTTCATACCCGTTAGTTAAAGCAAAATCTAATTTTACTGATGCTTATCTTTTTCTTTGAATCAACCTGTTGACAAAGTACAGTTATGGGATTAAACCACATCAGGTCAAGTAAAGATTAGTTAAGAAAACAAAACTTAAAAGACCCTTGATATATGATATGTCACATTCCCATCAATCAATGACTGCAGGTGAAGCTTCCAGGCTGACTGTATTGTTGATTACTGCCTTTTAGGCAGAATCAGGACAGCTCAGCCAACAAAATGCTACCTGAATAATCGGAAACTCAGTTTGTGAATTCGAGAGAAAATACTGGCATATAAACGTATAGTAATGTATTTCTTGAAAATGTAAAAATTGTAAAGTGTTTAGAAGTTAACCGTTAAGATTACAACAGAATGAGAATCTCTGTATGACCAATTTTCAACATACAAACATTATTTAATGTTTCGTAAACCTACAGTATAACAATATGGCAATATTTTCTTAATCTTTGATCAAGCACTTGTTCCTCTGGAAAAAAAAAAGGAATTGTGGGGTATGATTTGTGGTGTTTTATGCTCTGAATTGAAATCATGATGACATAAGAAAGGCCACAAATCAGTGGAAGCCATTCAACATATGTTGAATGTTTTTTACTTATTCATCCAACAAAGTCTTCTAAATGACTGTCACACCCTCTGCAGCCAGAGGGCGCTCCTTCTCTGTCCTGTCCCTAGTTTCCAGTCTGCTGTCCTTCCTGTCCCTCTTTTTCCCTTGGGCTATATATTTCCGGGTCTTGCACTCTGTCCTTGCTCAGCATTGATGTTCGGATGTCCTGAGACCCGCCTAGCACCAGGGCGCCCCACGTCCGCTCCCTGAGGGCATAGGTTTCTATACGGCATTCCTGAACTCTTTGCACTAATGAGCCCGGGCCTTTTTCCCGTCTCGCCGCTACGCATATGGGTCTTTTTCCGCTCTCCTGCTCCCCACGGTTAGTCCCTTTGGACGTCCGTGACAATGACAATGGAGATAAAATTCCCTTCCTAGTCTCATTCTCTGGAACCAGGGTTGTGGTGCATTCACAGTGCAATAGTCTTAGTAGTATTCAGAATGTCTACAAACTGTTCTTGTTGGTCAAAGCCTTAGAGCTTACACATTTGCCTGGTGTTTGTGCAGACTGTCCCCAATGCCACCCTGCATGACCATTCCTGTGTATTCTGGGACTACGATCAAGAGGTTTGGAGTACAGCAGGCTGCACAAAGGGAACAGATGAGTTTGGGAATCTGAGGTGCCAATGCAATCACACCACTAACTTTGCTGTACTAATGGTAAGAACGTTGCTTCCTGCTGTTTATCTCTTGTTAACTTTTCAAGGACTTCAGCAACATGGCAAAACATCCCTCAGGTTGAATAACTTGACATGTCATGAAACTAAAGCACAGCTTTGCACATTTAAAATCAAATCTTGTTCCACTTTTTTATAGACTTTCAAACACGATTACAAATATTCTGCACCATTACAGTGGATAACATTCATTGGATGTGGACTATCTATTGCAGGACTTTTTCTGACCATTGTAATTCAAATAATAACCAGGTAAGCTCTTTCTGAACTGTTTTTCGATGTATATTATAATAGTGCATACATTATAAAACTTGTAATTTTGAGTCGCATTACAGTTCATCCAGTTTTCAAAATTAGTTTGGATTTAAATGGATTAACAGGACTGAACTGTATGTTTATTAAAAAATAGACTTAGAGTACGTATGGCACAAGCTCCACTTTATGGTCTTAGAAAATGTTTAAATATGTGAATTTTCATTCCCCAGGAAATCTCGTAAGGCCACCCCTACGCTGCTTTTGGTGAGCATCTGCTTGTCGATGCTCATTTTCAACATAGTCTTTATTTCCGGCATCAACAATCCAAATGCCAATAAAACGAGCAGGAGCTCGAACACCAGTGAAAACATCTTGCTGGACTCGGACATGCACATTGACAGAGACGAGGGCCCGTGCACAGCTGTAACAGCCCTGCTCCATTATTTTCTTTTGGCCACCTTCACCTGGGCTTTGCTCTATGCTATTCAGATGTATATCCTCCTTGTCGACATCTTCAGACACCCTCCGAAGCACTTCGGATTGATCATGACAGCGATTGGCTGGGGTAAGTAAAACCATGCGTGGTTTGACAAGTGCCATCACCACTCGTCACATCAATGTCATCATTGTACAGTTGCTACAAACATTTCTTGAAGAAATTCAGTAATAAACTGCTCTTTTTCACAGGCTTCATTTAATCATGCTTTTTGTGAGATGCTTTGCAAAGAAGCCCTTACCCTCTGATTTGCAAAGATTATTGTGCTTCATCTCAGGAAATGTTTTTTCTTTATTTGCTTTTTGTTCTTTAACGCACTGTCCAAGTGTCCAATATTATGTTTTAAAATGAACTTTACAAATCTTGGCTGCTTATGTCATGCTTTATAAAAAACAGTAATAGAATGAGTCTCATTGTAAATAGTCTATCATATCATGGAGAGAAATGCACTTTTATTCCCCAAAATAATATAATTCTGTATAGGTTTCCCTGCAGTAGTGGTGGCTGTAACATTAGGAGCGCTATACAGAATTGAGAACCCTTTAAACTATCGCCAAGAGGAATTGTGAGTAAATTTGGTGCTGGGTATTTCTAGTGAGTCGCAAATAAATCATTAAACAGGTTAAAGTTTGACTTATCTTTGCCTTTCCCTGAACCTAAGAAAAGTAACTTTTCTTGTTTAAGTTGCATATGAATGTGCTATAACAAACTTGTCAATCAACAAACTGCACACAATAATTCTGTTTGTATATACTTTAAAGTACAAAATTAAGATAGTAAGTTTTTGGAAAGTTTTGTAGAAAACACTGTACAGTCATACATTCAGTTGTATTCTACATACAGTAAAAAATGAAAAGGGAACATGCTTTTGGAAACTTTAAAATTTGAGAAGTTCTTTGTCAGGGTATTGCGTTCTTGTATGAGAAAGTTGCGTTGTGCTGAATGTTGTGAGAAACACATACAATACATTTTAATGAATAATAAACATATTTTGGGAAGCCATTGGCCAAAAATAAAATATATGTACAGTTCCTTTGTTATCAGAGGAGCATATCTGCTGCTATTCCAGTTGGAATTAGTTAATATAAGCTGTGTAAAAAATGGCTGTATATCTGAGATGTCATTGACAATTAAGTACAGTTTAATTAATCATATTTAATAAAATACACCACAGTTGTTCATCCAAAAACACCAATACTTTTATGTGGAACTTCAAAGTTTGTGGTTCAACTATTGTTTTTCAGCTGCTGGCTGGCTGCTCTTGACAGTCAGGGAAGATTTGACATCAGAAAACCAATGTTATGGGCATTTCTTCTCCCAGTGGCCTTAATCCTATTATCCAACATGGTGATACTGGTCTGTGTCATACTCACTTTGTGCAAGAACAATCCTGCTTTAAAAAGGTATTTTTCATTGTGGCAACTGCAATAACCTAGATACTGTATTTTGGATACAAGTGATCTAGCCTTTTCTGTAAATACTGTATGTTAGTAGTTTTGTTGAGTTTGGGTAGCAGAGTTAAATGACTGAAAATCATTGTACTGTTACAAAACCTCAATTTCTCCCATTTTCGTCTCTTGGTGCTTTTGCTAATTGATCTTTATTCTAATTAACAAAATAGTTGACAGTTATTTGAAAACTTAAAAAGAAATGAATGTCATCTCTGTTACGGTTACTAGTTTTTAAGATGTCTAAAAATAAAAAAA